ACGCTCAACTGTTAAAATTGGCAATTAATGGGCCCACAGGATCAACAGTTGTGTCCTCCTTAACAATTTTGAACAATTCCTGATGTAATTCCGACAAAGCGGCCTTTTCCTCTGGTGAAATGTACTCATTGGTTATGAGCTTTGCCTGTGATGTCCTTCCCTCGTCCTCGGCCGGTGGATCCTTCATGCTCGATTCTAGTGGGTTAAAGAAGTTCTGTATATCTATGAGATGACTTGGAATGAAACACACGCAATGTCAGTAACTCGCTCCTATATATAGCGTGAGAACAGGTCACTGGTGCAGACCAAATGGGATACTCACTCGTTGGTGTCGTTAACAATCTCATTCAACTGTTCTTCCCTTTCCTTTAGCCTCCTGTCCTTATCATAGTCGCTGGCAGATTTATTAGTACGGTGCTCAGTCCCGAGGCTTTGTCTCTTCAAATCACACTTACTGGCCGTCGTTTATCAGTGGAGTGGTCTCATTGATCTTGATTGGTTTGGTTTGTCAGTAAACTCCTTCACACGGGAAGAAAAACAGGTTACCAATGACGTACAGATTGGTCATCATCATCAATACCCCTTAAGCACGATAAGCAGACACCCATAGAGCTTTTGTTCTTTTGACTAATCCTCTCTTCCCTGAGGGGTTGGCTTGTTAACGGTGAATTTATGCTTCAGCTTCCTCACATAGGAAGAAAAACCCACACACCAACACCAAAGCACAGGATTTTACCAATGCCACTGTTAAAAGTACATTATTTCTCTTTCGGGAAGTCAACGATTTTCTGGGAAACTTCACCGTCTCGGGCACTTTTTTTTTTCAGTGGTTCTTGTCCACTCAAAACAGAAAGAACGAGTGAGGGCAGAACAACAACAGACGTGCACTTAAGCTGTATCTGACCAGGAGAACAGTATGCTTACAAGAACCACAGTTAGACGTCTTCACACGTCACGCGTCAGCTATGGGTTCATGGACTGGTTCAAGATGAAGAAGGCCGAGGAGAGAAAGCCAAAGCCAAAAGCTGAAGATATCAACACTGTCATGGCGAAAGCTGAAGAAGGTGAAGTTACAGTGACCAAGATGGACAAGATTGAATTCATTGGTAAGAAGAGTAAGAAGCCACAGGATACACGTCCATTGGCTGAGAGATTGAATGGATTCCATATCAAGCATTGGATTGCAAAGGAGAAGGTTACAGATGAGGCTCAATTTGCAAAGTTGATCATTGATGAATACAACAAGCTGGTTCCAAACAACGTGGCCTCTGTAAAAGATGTTAACTTGGCCAACTTGAACTTACGATTCCAAGTAACTAAACAAGTTCAGGCTAAGTCTGGTTATCTGATCCCGGATCTGGTGTTGACGAGGGCATCGAATGGCCAAGTGTTGCTTGACCATTTTGACAAGTTGATGAACGGCACCCAGAGCAAATATCATCTAACCCTAGATGACATTCCAGTCACAAGTGAAAACGTATACATCCAACCATCAGTGACGAGCAGAGAAAGAAAGACCAAGTTCAAGAAGTTGCTGAAAGAGGCTAAAAAGGCACAAGATGAGAAGACTGAACAACTTATCCAAGGTGTGAGGGCATGAAATATCAAGTTCATTCCATCCGTACATGAGAACACGCAAATGGAGAGAGAGAAAGAACTAACCACTGTACATATATATATCCATCTATTCTTTGCTTGTAAATTTTTGTTTTGATCTTCACAATCTATACACATAGTCAGCGTTCAAAGTTTTATATCTAACCCATGGAAATGAAGTATACTCTAAAACATCGTCTGTGATACTGAGGTATTCCACTTTTAAAGAACTGAATGTCAAATCTGGAAGCTCAAATGCCATTGTTATCTCTTTGTTGTTCGTTTCCCGTTCATTTTCTTCATCGACAATCTCCTTGATCTTGTCGAATCTTGGATGAGTGATCTTTGGTGGTGGATCCATACCCAAGTTGACGACTTTCGTGTTATCATCTGGTCTCTTCAGATCAAACTGCGACATCATTGTATACGTCCGTTCACCACCAACGCTCTGTAGATTCCAGACAATACAGTCATCGTCGAATTTGTACGCAACCTTCCCCAGTTTGCACCTAAACTTTGGCATGGAGCCAAAATCTATGTCATAGTGTTGTAGATCAATGGGGATCTTGATACACAGGTATGTCAATTGTGCTCTCAGCTTGAAGTTCGTCCTTATCGTGATCTTGGTGAACAATTTACCGGTCTTTTCAATGAATTCGTTCTCTATGATCTCAACAATGGGTGATGTCTTGATGGTCAGTGAATAATGGCACAGTTGGAACTCACCATCCGGTGGTGTGAACGATATGATCCTGTCACTCGAGAACTTTGGAAGCTCAACGCACTGATGGAACTGTAGTTTCTTGAAAAAGGCAGAATTCTCCGTGTCGATCAGCTTGTTGAGCCCCAACTTCAACACGGGCATTCCTGAGAGATAGCACTTAACGTCGATGCTACCGTGTATCTCGTGCCGTATAACACGTGAGTTTGCATCCACGTAGAGAGAGATCTTCTCGACAACGTCAACAAAGAGCTCGTTCTTCTTATAGAAGATACCTCTAGGCCTCCAGCTGATCGAAGTTGTCGTTGTCTTCAAGATACTCGAATTGACCTGCTGGTCATCGTCATCTGCGGGCTTTGGAGCCTCTTCCTCGTTCTGCTGGACCTCCAACTTGATCACGTCCCTCAGAATGGGTATGTCTGTCAGCTGCGGTATGCCGTAGTCCATGATCTCGTCCAACAGCTCGTATATCAAGTTGAAGTTATCGGTGATGAGATCCCTGTTCAGATCCTTGGTCTTGAAGTAGCTCTTGAGGATCTCGTCAAACTTGTAGAGAAAGCTGAAGAGCATCATCGCATTCGTATTGTCGTGATGTACTATTGCAAGCAGGATCAGATCGTTATTGGTGATGTAGGCGTAGCGGAACTCGCCAACGGTGACAACCGGCGCATCGTTCTGTTCCTTAGCGCTACAGAACGCCCTCACAACAGTCTCGACATCCACCAGCGTCCCAGTGTAGCTTCTACTGATCAAACAGCTCGCGGTTCTATCGAGAATCGCAATTGCATCCATTTAGTCACTCTGTCTGCCTCTGTCTCTCCGTTCACGCGGAATTGCCACTCCTCAATGCCTCCGTCCTGCTCTTCGTCCTGGCTGGCTCTCCTATACCTCACAGCTAGCGTGCCTAGTCCCGTGTGAGTGTGAGCGTGGGCTCCTCAACTGTGCTCCCGTGGCTTCTACGTGCTGTGTTTGTTTTTCCTCGCTCCGTGGGTGCCAGTAGTGTGATGAGAGCGGTGAGGCCCCGAGAATCAGGGAAAAGTAAACAGCGGCACAGCATCAAGAACAACAACAAGGGTGAAACATCACGGCGGTAAAGGCAAAGATACACGGCGGCAGGGTAGAAAGGCACGGAACACAGCGCGGTAGAACGATGTCGAACCCATACGCTGTGCTCAAGGAGACGGCGCAGCTGCCGACGATTGATAAGAAGAACCAGGAGAAGATGGGCAAGTCGATGCAGAGAAGGATCTCCATCCACTACACGGATGACTCCACCATCAGAGGCCTGACGGGCCAGGCGCCGGCGTTACCTAACATTGACCTGGAGCAGTACGGTGGGTCCTCGCAGCCGGGAGCTGGGGTGTCTACTGCGCCCATGGCGAAGGGTGGGTCCCTTGATAGTGCTGGGCGTAAGGATTCAGGGATGAAGACAGGTGTCCATAGAGACATCATGAACTTGCGTGACCCGCAAGTGCTGAAGATGTTGAGTGACCCACAGTTCAACGCCGAGCAGTTCATCAGCGCAAGGTTGGCAGATGCCACAGCGTCCGATATTGAGAAGTTCAACACGCAGTTGCGGTCTCTGAACATCAACGTTCAGAACGACGTCAAGGCGACGGCGTTGCAGACGTTTGAGAAGCTGGGCGAGGTTTCTGATAACTTGGAGACCACGTCTACAGAGGTGAAGCACTTGCGTAACAGCATCAACGATCTAATGGATATCACTGTCCAGATGAAGGAGTCTGCAGAACACACCGTTCAGCTGGAGATGGATCTACAGAACGAACTGACCAAGACCAACTCAAAGAGAAAGAAAAGAGCCAGGGATAGAAGCAGTATCCTCGTGTTGGAGAAGATGTGGGCCTCGGAGATGAACTCGCTATTCAGACACGTTGAAGGTGCTCAGAAGTACATCTCTGCGATTCCAGGACGGCACATTATAGCTGAAAGTGGTCGTTGGCAAGAGCTCAACGCTGCGACTTTCAAGACGCTTCAACCAGCCCATATCTTTTTGCTAAATGACTTGATATTGATCGCCACCAGAAAGCGCAAGGTTCAGAAACAACCTTTGGATGATAAACAGCAGCTTTTGGTTGCTTCACAATGCTGGCCGTTGAGAGAGGCCCATCTGACAGAACTCAAGTTGCAGAACTCCAGTAAGGACACATATGCCATCAACATCAAGTATAACTCGTTGAGTTACGTTTATCAAACCGATCGTTTGGACCACTACACGAAGGTGCTGGAAGGTTACAAGAAGGCTAGGAATGAGCTTCGTGACATTTCTGAGGCTGAGAATATGAAGCAGAAACAGCTGAGAGACTCCATGAACCTGTTAGCTTTGTCTGACACTGGTAACGGTACACATCCGACTAGAAATAGTTTATCGAGAAACTCGCAAATAATGTTGCAAGATCTCAGTACAAGAATGCACAGTAGATCAAGAAGTTTGGATAACTCGAATGTGCTTCGTATGCTCAAGTCCTTGGATGGCAGAGTCGATGACGTCGATGTCCAGATCTTCCACGAAGATTATCAAGGCTCAGTGACCGCGTTGGATGACATTATTATCGAACTCGAAGCTCTGAGTACGTCGTGTACACAGGATGAAAAAGTCTTGTACAACGTCATTGAGTTGAAAGTATGTGCTAAAAAGGACAAGATCTTGAAGATGTTGATTAAAGGTTTGCGTCTGCTGTTCTTGTCCTTCTCTCGTATCGAGAAGTTGATTAAGGCTTTACTCGCTTTGAAACAGACTCAATTGGCGGAGACTCTGTTCTTAAACAACAGGTCTTCCTTCATCGAACTGCTTTTAGATAGAGTTCCTTTTGAAAAGAACATCAACGGGGAGCCAAAGACACAGGATTACATCGTCTCCCTTTCGATTGTGAAGTTCCAGTCCATCAAGACCACCATTGAACAGTACAAGAAGCTGTTTGCAAATGATTATCAGTCCCAGAGTTACCTGGTTTCCTGGGGTGTCGAGGAGTCAGAGAAACACATTGTGCTTTTGAAGAGGATCATCCAGAATGTGAAAATCACTGAAACTCAACTACGTGATGCGATAGTCTCCATCCACGGACAAGTTGAATCTTTGAAAGAGGAAGGTTTGGACGTTGAATACTTGCTAGATGAGTTCTACAAGACCATCGACACTGTGTGATGGTGTATCAGAATTAGAATATTGTATTTTACCCATGTTATATAATAGAGCAGAGAAACAAAATTAACAATGAACATAACAGAAGTCTCTGTGCGCGTATATGTACAAGATAACCTGTATCATCCTTGGAAACCATCATCTCATAACCCCAAGTCCTCTTCAAGTGCTTCAATGGCTTGCTGTCTCTTGTATATGAGTGTTCTCTCTTCTTCATATTTAAAAGCCCAATCTTCATACAGGCTTCTATTGACATCAAGGATTGCTAATCTGGTCTTTTCAAAGAGGTCTTGTTTGAAGCTCTCAACTTCTCTCAACCACTCTCTGGAGATCCTGTTGAACCCCATGAAGATGCCTAATGAGGCCAGCCCAACCATCGAATAGGTGGAGAAGTCATAGACTATGGAGCCAGGGATGGCCAATAGCACAAATGGTAATTGGAGTGTAAGAACGTTTAACATGATTATCTTTACAGCTCTGTTCTGTAGCTGAAGAAGATCCGTCTGTATAACGTTTCTCTTGAGAGTTGTCAGTTCGTTATGGTCGAGTGCCTCCAGTTTTGAACGGAAATGTGGCTTCTCCTCCAATTGGAAACTCGTGAAGGAGTCTATCTGTCCCTTTACGTAGCTATAGTTCTTCAGCGAATCAGTAAGGATTCCATCTTTCAACATTTCGGCAAAGATAGCCTGCACGTCGTCTGCTCTGTAGTACAATTTCCACCAGGGTAACTGTCTCGCCTCATATTCATTGACATGAGCCTTGAAGCTCGTCTGCAATTCATGGTGTGATTCTTCGTCCCATTGTGAGATGAATTTACGGATCTTTCCATCCCTTTGCGACAGTTCATCGACCGTCATTGAATGAACCGCATTCTGTTCGTCCAAGTTCTTTCTCACAGAGTTGTAGAGCTTTGAAATGACGGTGTACGGCTCAGATATAGCTGAAATCAGCTTGATGAACTCAGATATATGAGATTCTCCATACAGCTTAGTATAGATGGTAGCATTCTGCGGTGACTCGATTAGAAGGTCCACTGCGCTCTGCGAAATCTCGGAACACACCTCGTTCTGAGCCAGAGGTGGTGGATTCCCGAGATCATTGTTTGGAATATCAACGTATTGATACACTGGCCAGCTCTGCGTGTCTAAAGGCACGCCATTCTGGAAACTGATGTAGCAATGACAGCCGTCCTCTGCTGGACTCAAATGTTTCAACTCGACGAATTCCAAGTTCCTCTCACTTAGGAACGGAGAAGGAACGTTATAAACATTTCCTGATTGTTCAAAGGAATGGCTGAACTTCACAACGACATCGTCCTCGTGGGATCTCAACTGGAATTGTTCGTACCAGGACTGGTTTGATGCAAATGGGTCGGCCAATATGGAATTCAACAGAGAGCCTTTGGCGCCGAGAAGACCAATTCGGATGGGGGTATCCGGGAACTTCAGGCGTTCCGTGAGCAGTGCTATCTTAGAGTAGAGTCCATGCTTGTCGGCAAATAGGTCTCTTGCTCTTTCGAGGTTAATCACGGGGTCTCGAGGCTCATCATCAACAACAGTGTGCTGGGAGAAGTGTCTCATGTTGAGGCTTATGGTGGGGATTCTCGAGACCCGGGGCCAAGACGTACGAGCAATACATGAACACAAGGTTCTAGTGTATGACATACTGCCTGTTGGTGGGAAATTGCAGGGGATTGCGAGGGAGGGAACGGTGTGAACTGAAGAGGTGGTAAATGGTGATGGGAGTCTATGCCGATGTGATTGGTTAAATGGTGGTGTCGGGGTGAATGGGTGTCCGGGTTAGGAGGTGTCCGGGTGCAGCGCTTCGCGAACCCGGCTTGCTTTTTGCGCAATTTGTGAGTTTTTCCGTTGGAATTTTAGACTCTGCGCCAATTGCGCAGTCATTACCCTTTACAGTAGGTCTTTATGCCATATTACGCGATTTGGCGGAGACAATCACGAAAACTTCCCTTTTCGATCAAAATGCCATAAGCTTTTTCATGCGCATGTGACAAGAGGTGCGAGACATATGGCAAAGGGAAAAATTCATGAGCAAAACAGAGGGAAAACCCACTTAAATTGGAACATATGGCATAAAACATACCCCGTTTGCTTCATACACTGGCAATATTGTCTTCTGGAGAGTTGTTTCTATATTAATATTGGTTGATTTGGTTCAAATTCGTAACCGATTGTACTTCCATCACAAGACATAAAGACAGGCAGGTTGGTTTCCAGGTCGCAGAAGTTATTCCGAGAAGCTCTGGCAAGAGAACAACAACAACAACGTACACAGGAGCGCACGACCTTTGTATAGAGATACCACAGAGTTACAGAGCCGTAGAAGACTTCGGGTTGGTCGTATGTCGATGTCTAATACTGCAGAGATGGGTGTAACAGACTCATCACTCGATGTATCGGACCCTTTGTCGTGTCGGAAGCTCCCACACCAGGATAAAGTGGCTGCTTCCTCCCAGAATCTGTTATCATCACATGCCAATGAAGAGGAATCCTTGGCTGTACGAGATGAAAAGGAAGCTGAAGCGTTAGAGGCTCTAGGGCAACTGCAGAATAGTGGGCATAGTACACCGGCTGTACAGACACAGGAAGCTTTCGGTGAGAGGCACAGCGACGAAGATGGTGATGATGATGATGATGATGATGATGATGATGATGATGATGTCAGTGGAGGTAGCGACGATGAACAGTTCTACGACACAAGATCGACGATATCACACAGGCAGAGGCTATACAGAAAGATGAGAAACCATCCTATTGTGAACTCTGCCGTGAACGTTTACAAGTCCAACAAGCCTGCACTGAAGTACGGTGTCAACATGGTTGAAAAGGCCGCACAGCCAATGGTTACCATCATCGGTGAAACTAGGGAGGAATGGAGACGTAAGAGGAGATTGAGTAAAGCCAACGAGATGTTCCCCGACGAGGCAAAGGTTGACATACCACCATCGTCCTCGCTGCTACCTTCTACAAAAAGGCAGAAGCTGCCCTCGATATCTGAGGCACTATCACTGGGAAATAGAAACTTGAACGAGCTGAGCTTCCAGATGTCCATCGAGTCCAAAAAGAGGCTCCAGGCCTGTCTTCAGCTGTTGATGCTTGCAAACAAGCAACTGTCGACAAAAGTGGAACATCTACAGCATCTCTTGAAGGAACAGGAGCGCATCGTTGAACACCGACGTCGCTCTGAGACAGATGTCGTTAGAGACGAAGATGGTGACGTTTACCACGATGCCTCCGAGTCTATCAGCACAACCGATGAGATCAAGCATGAGATCATTGGCACAGTGAAGAAGATCGTTTCCTTCATCTCCAAGTACGGTGGTAACTCGCTTCCTGAACCAGCAAGAACAGACGTCCGTGAAGAGCTGCTCAAACTCCCCAACAGATGGGCTTCACAGCAGACAACTAATACGCTGATAAACTACAATACAAACGCAAAAGTGCTGGTCCTGGCCAACGACTCCTTGGACATGGTGAGATCCGTCATGTCTGTGTTCCATGATACTCTAAGCAGAGCAGACCATTGGATCAAACAAAAGCAGGCAAAGCAGTTAGCCAAGCAAGCCATGTGGAATAGTTCAATGAGGAGACGAGAAGCACAAGAACAGATAAAGGATATGGATCCCAATGTTGTTTCTGACGATACCGTTGTTTCTGACGATACCGTTGGCTCTAATAACACCACTCAGCCTCATAATACCGTTGAGAATGGCTGATCATGCCAACGCCCTCCTGCTGTTCTACTGTTTCCTGTAATGTGTTCATGACTGTTCTATCGAGATTTACATAACCCGTCTGTGTAGTTCAGTTCTGTAAAGCCTTTAGCCTTTCCCTCATCTCGTTCAGCACGTGGTCGTCCTCCTCCTCCAACTCTGGCTCCGCGTGTTGAGGTGCCGGCTCCTCCAGCTGTGTGTGTGGTAGGTTGTTGACCTTGTCAAACTTCTCTGTGGTGTACTGCGATACAATCTTGTTGATCTCCTCGTTGATCTCGTCCTCTTCCTCGATGTCTTCCACCTCGTCCATCGTGTCCAGCGTGTCGCCAACCATCTCGTTGATGATCCCGCTCTTCATCAACTCCTGCTCCAACTCTCTCATGGTCCCTGTCAACTGTGGCAGTCTCACGAGGCTGTTCACCTCGCGCATGATACTGGACGACTTCACCATGTTCTGCTGTAACTTCAACATGCCAAAGCTCTCATCGATCTGCATTCCAACGCTCTCCAACTGCGCCTTTGACTTGTACAGCCTCGACTGCTGTTTCTTTATCCCGTACAACTCGCGGGCGTACACCTTGACGCTCTTCATATCGTTCTTCTTAGCGCTTTGCTTGATCAACGTCTCCGTCTTCTTCTCGAGCGCATTGATCTCGCGGATGCTCTTCTCCAACTGACGGGCATTACGACGTGTGAGCTGCTTACACTTTCTATGCTGGAGAGTAGAGGGAGCACGGCCCCCCAGATGTGTTAGCATTGCTTGATAAACAAAGGACCAAAACAACAGTCCCTATAAATCGCACTGTCCATACCTGTTCCTTAGGGTCTGGTCCCCATATTGCCTTCTTGATGTAATCCATTTCCTGACGTGTCTTCACACTGTGAGCGGTGGTGAGTGGGTCAGGGCCTGTTGAAGTAAAAAGCCGGCACTGTCCAGAGGAACAAGTTTGATGGACAGCGGCCAAAATGCCGCTGTTGTAGTGTTGGGGGCCACAGCACCAGTGAGGTATACACACAGCACATCATCAACGCTTCGTCACTTGCAAACAACTACAGGGACACGAGGACACGAGCGGAGATGATGTCGGAGACGTATAAGCTGTTGGATTCTGCGCTGGAGTCGGCTCGTGGAGTGTACGAGCACGACACCGAGGTCACGGTGAAGCAGCTAGAGACGATTCGCCAGGTGAACACCGCAACAACGCTCAACTACATAAAGAAAGAGGAAGCACTCAAGAGGGTGACGAGGAAAGCAGACAGCATCGAGGCAAAGAGTATGTGACAATGCTAAGGTGTTCGTGCTCCTTGACTAATGTATACTAACAGAGTAAGCAGAAGAAGAGTTGAGGCAACTGGAGCAGCAGCTGTCGTCTGTGGAATCCCGTCTCTCTTCCATCGAACAGCTGGTTGATGAGCTAGAAGACCATACCAAGGACTGGTGAAGTGCTGTTTGTGTGGTTCTGAGAGTAGAGGATAAGGAACTGAAACAGTGATGTCTTCCTTTTCGGAACGCTTCCGAAAGTGGTGTTTACATCTCATTAGCCGCCGTGATGGTTGGTGTCAGCGGCTAATGTGTTATTGTTTCCTTGTTTACGTTCTCTTAGCTCACTTGTCTGTTACCGTTGATGGCTGTGGAATAAGCGGAACTGGATGCCTCGCAATTGGAAGATGAAGGTGCTGGATACGTTGTTGTGGTTGTTGTTGATGATGCTGTTGTCGGCGCGGTTATGCTGGTGTGATGATCTATCCGACTTTGTTGGTCTTGACGATGATTTTGCCATATTGGAGGCATGGGAAGACGTTACGGCGTACTTTGAACCGATGGCGTTGATCGAGAGCGTGCCCTTTGATGCTGAGAAGTACAATTCGTTGTCAGAAGAGGATATAGATGCGGAGTTGTGGGATTTGTACGGTAAATTGGAACAAGTGTACGATACATTGGTTGTGTTTGCCAAAGTGCTTGCGAGTTTAACCGCTGATGACTTGATGGAAATGGCTGAAAAGTTGGAGAACGATCAGGAGTTGTACGCAAGGCTTGTCAACGAACCAAGTCACAAGATCATGCGCAAGTTGTTCCACATACAAGGCGTTGACGATACAGCGTTTCTCGAAGAGCATGACCAGGAATTGATGGGAATTCCGAACGACCCCAGTTTCCAGCCAATGGAGCCTTTGGTCTACGACTATGACGACGATTATGACGATGACGATGATTCGATTTGGAGTCCAGATACTGATTACGAAATGATTGCAAAATTGGTGAAAGATGACCCTGACGACATGGATGCTGTGGAAAAGATGGGGGTGATCTTGCTTGCGAAAAAGATCATCAAGAAGATCAAGAGAATTATCAAGAAGGTTAAAAAGAAAGCAATGTTGATTATTAAGCTTATCAAGTTGAAAAAGCTTATCAAAAAGACAAGAGTCATTATTTGTATCAAGATCATGTTGTTAATAGAGAAGATCAAGAGAATGGTTAAATTGATAATCAAATTGATCAAGAAACTTATCGTGTGGGCCATTAAGGAGCTCCCCTTTGAAATCCTTTGGAAGATTAAAATCATCATCAAGTTACTCATAAAGGTCTTATTGGACATACTATGGGAAATTGAAATTATTGTCTTGGAAATCTTGGTTAAAGTTGCGATGCTCTTGAAAAAGATGAAAA